ATATATATATATATATATATATATATATATATATATATATATACTTTAAAAAGTAGGAGATCAGTTGATTTAGCTAATTTTTAAAGTTAAAAGCTCTACATGTTATTTTTTATTTTATATTTTTCACACGTGTATTTTTAATACTACTGTTTCCTGGTTAAGTTCAATTCTGCCCATTAAACTTTTATATATTATATATATATATATATATATGTGTGTGTGTGATTAAATATAGTTTTGACTTTGAGGTATGCTATGGGTTAAAGTGCTCAATATCAGGGATAGAGCGAATGTAGATATAAAAGTGGACACTGAAGTCCACACCAAGAGACGACAGTCTATTTAATGCTAAACGCACTGCGTTTAGCATGAAACAGATAGAATGATAGATAAATGTGGACATTTAGTATCAATGTGAATGTAATTTAGAAACAATCAAGAAATAAATGTCAATAATCAACTGAGTCTTATAGGAAAGTTCCAAAACATGCTATTCAGCAATAAAAGTAAGTTTTTTATGAGATGTGTTTTTATTACCTTTAAATTCTGTACGAATTTTCCATGATTGCCTAAGTACATTGTTTCTGACTTTTTTTTATTCAAATGGGACTATTTGATTAATCAGACTTTTGAAGAATTCAGTGTATGCTTATAATTTCTTGTAAATTAGATATTTGATAAATCAAAAGTATGGTGTATGTTCACATTGTGACCACGAGACTTTCTATTACTTCTGAAAACTGCATCGGCTTGCGTACACGTGTAAAGATGCGCTCACTGCTATGTCAATGTTTGCGAGCATGAAAATATGATCATTAGGTGACATGTGTTTTAATATAATAAAAAAGGTGAATTTAATAAGAAATCTATAATAGAATATTTAGCCTTTTTTCTTAATTGTGAAACATTAAAAATATATATTGATAATCATATTAAGTAATTATCAATGATGAAAGTTTAATAAAAGTACGCCTTATAATAATAATTTCAGATGAAACGTTTACTTTAATTATATAGTTAAAAGTATAAAATAATTCGATCTTCATTTATTTCAAAGAATGAATGAGCGACGTCACATGCATGATCTGAAATTGAATCTCTCAACTATTTTTTTTTCACAATATTGTAAGAATTTAATAGATTAGTGCAAATATGACATGTTTATTAGTCATTATACGAAAAAGTATGTAAAGGGATTCATGAAAATGTGTTAAATGTTTTTTTTGTTTTTTATTTTGTTGTCAGCATTTCGCTATGTACGAGCATTCTTAAAACAACTGAAAAAAAATCCAAGGAAAAATCTTTCATTGTCAACTCTGCTATTTAGAAAACGAATGTGAAAAATATGAATACTTAAATAAAAAATTTAAATAGTTAAATGAAAATAGTTAATAGTTAAATGAAAAAGTAAAGGAAAATAGTTAAATAGTTAATAAAAATTAAAAAAAATAATTGTCAATGAAAATCAATGAGATTGTTACATCCATGTATATATGTATGTATGTATGTATATATGTATGTATGTATGTATGTATGTATGTATGTATGTGTGTATGTATGTATGTATGTATGTATGTATGTATGTGTGTATTTTTTTTAGTTCTCCGCAAGATGTACCTTTTCTTATTTTTTGCTAATGTTTGCTGTCAGACGTTGGAAAATTACGATAATGAAAATGATCTTAACTAATTTGTATGTTTTTTTGATAAACAACACTAATCTGCTGAAGGATAAAATAGAGAAGGATGGTGAAAGAATTAAAATAAAATTACGCTTTTCAATAGGAAGAAAAACACGCAGAGTGAGAGAGAGAGAGAGAGAGAGAGAAAGTAAGAGAAAGAGAAAGTGAGAGTAAAAGCCATAAGGAGAGGATCTAACTAAATTATATGAAAATACAGTGTGTGTGTGTGTGTGTGTGTGTGTGTGTGTGTGTGTGTGTGTGTGTGTGTGTGTGTGTGTGTGTGTGTGTGGCGCGGTGCATGCGTGGGTATATTAATTTTTGTTAGCGAGCATTTCTTTTTTTAATGTAAGAGTCATTTCTATAAATCGCTGGTACTCGGACACAAATCGTTGTGCTTTAGAATATGAATTGCTTAAGAATTATTATGATTATTATTAATAAAAATACAATACATTTTTCGTGGTACATTACGATCTCTGTTCATGTGTGATTCTAAGTAATTTTCTATTGTAAATGTAAAAAAGTAAATAAAATAAAAAAAATACTAAAAAGACTGTATTTTCTTCTCAGAATTAAAATTTAACCTTTACGTAATATTACACGCGATTTTATTTGCTTTCTCTGTTTTTTCAAAAATAATGTTTAAAAAATTAAACAAAATCCAACTGCTTAACGGAACTAAAGGAAGAGTGTGTATGTGCCTCGTTTAAATGTGCTTGTTGTGCCACGTTCATAAACTTTAAAGTAAACGCTTTTCTCTTGAGTCGTTCTTAAATTACGAGAAATTCTTATATGCCATGTATGTGTTCATAACTTCAATATAAACATTAACTAACTCGTTGTTACGTACATAACTCCACCATGAACAGAGTATTAAATAGAACAAAAAGCAGGAGTAGTCGTTTACAAAAGCGTTACCCTCACCAAGAGATTCTTTCAAGTTTATACCTTTTCAATTAACAACCCTTTCCTTCACTACCACCCGATTTTCCCCTTCGCTTTCCAAATCTGTCTGTCTTTCCCCGGTCGTCCTGTCCTCGTCAGTCAAGAAAGACGCCGGGTCTAAGAAAGAGGGGGGAAATCTAGTAAGAAGAAGAGAGAAGGGAGACAAGTAACCACTAACAACAATCGGTAATCTTGAACAGAGCACAGCAAACACATTCATAGACACACACGCACACAAGAACAAGTGTTGTATGGAAAGTTAAGTTCCGAATCTATCTGTATATAAACTATAATCAGGAGGATGGATACCGTAGAACTTGGCCCGTTCCTGCCATTGAAAATGTAGCATGAGTTTTACAATTTACGAATCCACTATGTGAAGAGAGGTCCTAAGATTTAAAAACTCATGGATGTAATAAAATTTTAAAATGTGAGAGATGGATAAACGACTATGAAAAAATAAGTTATATATTTGAACAGTTTTGAGTGGAAAAAAAAAAAGAATAGTTTTCACTTTTCCATTGCTCGGATGTATTGTTGTAATGTAGCCACTGAAAGATTTGGAAGACAACATCAAAAATAATAATAATGCTCCGTGCGCGGAAACGCTCAATGGCCCGAAAGGTAATTTATTATTATTATTATTATTATTATTATTATTATTATTATTATTATTATTATTATTGTTGTTGTTGTTGTTGTTGTTGTTAAATTTATAAGAAATTTGATTTTCTTTATTAATGTTTACTTGTTTTTTAAAAGAAACGAACGAATGTTGCTAGACATTCGAAGTGCATGCGATGTATATTCACAAATTCATGTTATCAATAACAACTGCAAATATATTCTATTAAAAATTTTGTATTTACGTACTCTATTATATTCAATTTTATGGAAACATAGAAATAAAAGTTTAGAGAAAAATACCGGTTGATCGTTAATGCGATTGCTGATACTTGGATTTTTTTCGCGCTTATAAACGTCTAACTTAAACGTAACGTCTAACTTAAACATCCAGTGAACTTTAACCAACCAATTATTATAATTAAAAAAAGAAAAGTAGATGATTTTAATAAGCATTTGGTTCGGAGTAGAATTTATAAGCAATTAGAGATGAGTTCTTACTAAAAATTTCAACAAATATAACCTTGTTTCATAGTTTGATTTGTTCAACAATAACATTAACACGTGTTAGCAGAGTCGAAGTGTTTCTCTCTCAAACAATTGAAATTCTACTTTACTAGCTCTTCATTAAGAAATCTACGGATGATGCTCTCTAAATGCTAAAATTAGTGTCACACAATAAATATCTACTTGTCATAACGTGGTCTGAGTACTAATCTTGTAGGCTATTGACAATGTTAATTTATTCGGTCCTTATGGGTTTTTCACACTTTTTCCCTTAGACCAATTTGCTGCATATATAAATCATCGTCAAATAGCAATTAGTTGCAAAACAAAAATTATTGAAAAACCTGATAAATATGACTGACAGTGCGCTGCTTGTATATACTACTTTACTTGTAATTGTTTCGCTAATGATAGACAAAGTTTTATTTTAAATGTTACTTTTATTGACAGTAAATATTTTTCAAAATGTATTAACGTAAAATAATCTACAGTTTTAAGATTTTTAATCCTATAAGGTATGTATGTGTATGTATGCGTGTGTATTTGAGAGTGAGTGAGAGATAGATGAAGCTTGTCATGAAATGAGTTGCATGTGCAGAGAAATAAATAGATCATTTCTGATCTGAAACGGACAGAAGTTAATACGAACACAGTATTAAAAATTAAACACCATTAAACCATAATAATTATCATTTCGAGATGTTTAATACATGACATTTGTATTATAGATAAATGTAAGGCGGCAAAATCATTGAATATATATATATATATATATATATATATATATATATATATGTGTGTGTGTGTGTGTGTGTGTGTGTGTGTGTGTGTGTCTGCGTGTTTTATGTAAAAAAAAATATGAGTAACAAGATAAAGAATACTCATAAAAAAGAATAAAAAAGCAAAAACTGTAAAACACGTGACGCAAATCAAAGAAGAACAAATTTTTAACTATTTTTTTTTCTTTTTTTAGACTCTGTATCCCGGGAACACTTTGTAACTTACCGACCAAGGTAGATGTCGTTACGAACGGACCACGATCATTGTGTGAAGCATTTGCATTTTCAATAAAAAGTGTGAAGAGAGGGAGGGAGTAAAAAGAGTGAGAGGGAAATTCGTCTAAAGACTTTGTTAAAGCACAAAACATAATAAGGCCAATCTAATAAAGACAGAAAAGTAAAGAAATCTCAGTACGGCCCGTTGAAGATACTGAATTTTGTACTACAAGTTACGCCAGTCGACTATGGACCATAACTGTAATAACACGGCCCCTCCTGTTACAACAAACGAGTTCTCGTATTGGCATCGCTGCCTACTACTTCGTCATCATCCTCTCCAAGAGAGCAGGAGCAATCGTGGTGCTAGTCGTAGTAGTAGTAATAGTAGTAGTACCAAGAAGAAGAATAACAACAACAACTGTAGGAAAAGTGCAGTAGTCGCGTGCTACAGATTCACTCCAATGTATACTGATCATTTCACACCAGCAGCAGTCCGACACAGACGCGCCTCCTCGGCCAAAGCCGCCAGAAGACTTAACAAATGTACCACCAGCAACATAACAAATCTTACCGACAACAAAGGCAGTAGCAGCATTGTGATCTCTGACGTCCCCTTAGCTACACATACCAGCAAGTACCCGAGTTGCCGAGCTGATGGTACCAGTAGTATAACTTCTACAGGGACTTCGCCTTTCTTGAAAATGATGAAGCCTTTTCTTGTCAACTTAACACTTTGGACTATATTGAGTAGCCTGATGATGATAGGGTCCACCCTAGCTCAGGTAATAACAAATGATAATAATTATGACAAGAACAGTATAGAAGGGGACCCTTACAAAAAGGTAATAACCCTAAAACGGTCGATCGCTGTAGATTACGGACGAACTGTATACATTGACCCTTACACGGATCTTCGGCTACACGTGGAGCCGAACGACCGGTGTGTGGTGACTGTTCTGGAGACTGATGTTCTATCACAGCGACTCGGTAAACTTACGCCGGTCCACTTCCCGTGCATGTTCGGACTGAAAGACGTTCACTACACACACTTCGGTGGGCACAGCCCTCAGGACGATTACATCCGAATGCAAATTCGCTACGATACACAAACTCAAACAATAGTTATTCCTTTCATTCTACACATACATGTATCGTTTAAGCAACTGGATATTATCACACAAAACACGCCTATTTCAGTACGTAACCTTCTAGACCTTAGCCAACCTCTTAGTTCGGATAATACGCATTTTTCCTATGACCCTTCGCATCAGGTGTGCAAAGTGACCATCTTAAGCCCGGCTAGTGGCTTACCCCGCTACGGCCGTATTGTCAACGACACCACAGCCCTTTCCATGATCGACTGTGAGGATTTTTTACAAATGGGAGTACGATACCAGCATATGGCTAGATCCAAGTCACCTCGCAAGGACTATATACCATTACTGGCAGAATTAATGGACCACAATGGTACCTTAATCAAACAAGAATACTTTCAAAAAATGGTAAGGATACGATCAGGGAGAAAAAATACGGTACCAAAAATAAACCCCGATTCATCACTTGTCATGGACGTTGATCAGTTTGTGATGACAGCGATTACACTGGACATTCTCTCTGCTTATGACTCGGAAACCCCCGATGACCAGTTGATATTTAATATCACTGACTCTTTGGCAAATGAAGATGGGTTTATTGTATCAACAGACGACCTCGAATTACCAATCCACTCTTTTCATCAAGGCGATGTTAAAGATTTGAAGATTGCTTATAAACCGCCAAGCCATGATTCTCTGAAAAAGCGGCGAATCTTTAAAATTGAGTTGGAAATTGTAGATTCAGACGAAGGGAAATCGAAGCCAATTAATCTAACCGTAGTTGTTCGAGAAATGAACATTCTCGCCCCTATAGTCATCACAAACACTGGCATCCAACTTTTCGAGGGTCAGTCACGTTTGCTGTCGCGCGACACAAATTTGAAGATATCTGATGATGATAATATTCAAGATGTAACTCTAAGCGTTATTCGTGGATCAAGTCATGGAAAAGTCCTCATTGATGGACTTCCTAAGAAGTTCTTCACGCCCAAAGACATGGATGAAGGTCGGGTCGTTTATTACCATGATGGCTCAGACACATTCAGCGATAATATCATATTCAGAATAACGGACGGTTCTCATAAAGTTGAATTTCTTTTCCCTGTAACCATTTACCCGCAGGATGACGAACCCCCGGTTCTTACTGTTAATACCGGTTTGGAAATCCGTAAGAATGAACTGGCGGATATAACTCCGTTTGTATTGAGTGCTTCGGATGTTGACAGTGAAGACGCTGCGATTAGATTCATTACTGAACCACCTTTTTCTAATGAAGGCCACTTGTTATTTCGACAGTATCAAGTTCCAGAGAACGATGATTTTAACAACTGGAAATATATTGATGGAGCTTACGAACGTGTCATCAGGGAATTTACTCAACAGGACATTGTCAACGGTAAGGTTTTTTACCGACATGTCGGCCCTCATCGCTCGGATTTCGTACTGGACAAGATTAAGTTTAAGTTGGTGGATAACGGAGATCCACCGAACGAATCGGATTTCCATGAGTTTGTCTTTAAAATATTTCCTGTCGATGACCGTCCACCATATCAGGATACGCGTTGTACTTTACTTATGAATGCTGACGAAAAAAAAATGACAGTACTAAAAAAGAAGTTTCTTCGTTATACGGACGATGATTCGGACGATCGTCGTATTATTTATACTATCACTGTACCAGTGCACGATACAAATCGAAATACTCCAATCGGAGCTGGAAAAATCGTTCTTTGCGATGATGAAAGCGCTGAAGTAACTGCTTTTTCACAAAGCCAAATCAACCACCATAAAATCTGTTACAAACCTCCAAAAGAAGATTTGGGTCTTGTAGCAAGGATTCTGCAATTTACCTTTGACGCTGAAGATATCGCAGGAAATATCCTCACTGATCAGATATTTACTATTCGATTAAAACCTGTCAACGATAAACCACCACGTGTGATCAATACAGGATTCTCGGTCCCTGAGAATGGACAAACTATATTATCGACGGACTTGTTAAATGCCGAAGATCAGGACAGTCAAGATAAGGACATATATTTTTTCGTGGACGTGGCACCTAAGCACGGAGTTCTTATGAGAAATCATGAGACAATTTTGGCTACTCAACAATTCTCCAAAGAGGACATCATTAAAGGAACTGTTGTATACAAAAACGACGGGGAAGAGAATGATTCAGATCGATTCTCTCTCACTGTAACTGATGGAGTGCATATGATCCCGGCTAATGTGAAAATATCAATTTTTAATATTGATGATCAAGTTCCGAGGATGATGAAGATAGGGGGGCGTCAAGAAATACTTTACACTTTGATTAAAGTGAACGAAATGGGGACGGTTGCGATAACGACCGAGAATCTGAAATCATCGGACGATGACAACGAAGACAAAAAGCTTACTTTTATTATAACTAAGCACCCACTGGAAGGAGTCATTCTTACCGAAAAATTTACTCAGCAGGACATTATAGATCAGAAAGTCAAATATCAACATACTTCAGGTGAAATCGGAACCGATCTTCAAAGGGACAACTTCGAACTAATGTTGACGGACTATTCAGACCACTTAATTGTTGACGGAAACAAAGTCGAGCAAATACGGGTCGGGGTTGATATTTTACCGGTGGATAATAAATCTCCAATTGTCACATTGGGCAACACATACACTGTTCCAGAAAGTAAGAAAAATGTGATTCTTACTTCACACTTGGATGTTCACGACGAAGACACAAAAGAGGAAGATGTCATTTGCACGGTTGTTGTTAAGCCCAAATATGGCTACCTGGAGAATATCTCACCTGCACCTGGTTCTGAAAAATCTCGAGTTGGAATACCTATTACAGCTTTCAGTGTACACCAGTTGCGTTTACGTAATATAAACTATGTGCAAAGCGTGCATGAAGGAGTTGAAGAGCGTAGCGACAGTTTTACTTTCACTTGTTCTGATGGCGTCAGTTTTTCTCCGAAGTTCGTTTTCCCGATAGCCATTTTGCCAGAAAATGATGAGACACCGCAAGTCTTTTTACGGAAATTTGTAGTGCCCGAAGGCATGTTGTTAACTATTGACTTACCGATTCTGAACGCAATGGACAAAGACGAACCTTCAGACTCGCTGGTGTTTCTTATCGTCGAACAACCGAAGCATGGCACTCTCGGAAAGCAAACGTTGGCTGGGACGATAAGCATCACAAATTTTACCTTGGCTGATATTACAAAAGACTCAACTATACTATATGAACACGACAATTCAGAGACAAAGACTGATTCGATTAAATTCATTTTAACGGATGGTGTACACAACGTGTCAAAAACATTACAGATTGAAATTTTGCCTGTTGACGACGAAACCCCAAGACTGAGTATAAACAATGGGTTAGAGATTGAGAACCTAGGTGAAACCAAGATAATTACCAATAAGGACCTCAAAGCCAAAGATCTTGACTCAGATGATGAAACAATTCTTTACTTCGTCCGGCTTGAGCCCAGACATGGCTACCTGCAAAGAATCCAGAACGGACATACACGAAACTTGACGGTGGGTTCAAATTTCACTCAGTACGATATTGACCAGAAACGAATCCAATATACTCACACCGGACACGAGGGTGTCCGTGACGTAGTGAAATTCGATGTGACAGATAGTGTGAATCCTTTGATCGACCGATATTTTTATATCAATGTCCAGGGCAAGGATGAAGTATATCCAGATGTAATTAATAGAGGAATTGAATTGCCTGAAAACGGTAAAGTTGTTTTGACTACATATCTGCTTAGTGGTACGGATATAAATTCTCTGGACCCAAATCTCCAGTTTATTATCACAAAGCCCCCTGCGAGAGGTCACTTGGAAAACTCCGACAATCCTAATGTACCGATCTCTAAATTCACACAGATCGATTTAGTAGGTAATAAAATATCTTACGTTCACACCAGTAATGACCAAATGAAGATGGATAGTTTCATGTTTGAAGGAACTGATGCTTATAACCCAGTAGTGAGGACCTTCAGGATTTCCTTGAGCGATAAAGACAATAAGAAGCCAGTGCTGATGTTTGATGTGTTACGAGTGAAAGAGGGTGGTTCGAGGTTAATCACTCCATTTGAACTGAAAGCTGACGATCGGGACACCAAAGATGCACTGATCGAATTTACCATCACCCAGGTTCCTGTGCACGGGAACCTTTTACACAATTACTCAAGGATTGTCACTCGATTTACTCAGTCAGATATCAGTAATAATCTAATCAGTTACCAACATGATGGTACGGAAACTCGAACCGATAGTTTTTCTTTTACAGTCACTGATGGTACACACTCGGACTTTTATGTATTCTCTGATACCAGTTTTCCGAAACGCCACCCGCAGACCCTTAATATCGAAATCTTGGCTGTTGACAACGGCATACCTCAGATTTTTATCAATAAGGGGGCCGCCTACCTAGCTCCAATAGAAGATGGCAAAATGGGTTATATTCTTTCAAATAAAATTCTTTTGTCTCGAGATAGAGACAGTCAGAGCGAGGAGTTACATTATTATTTGACTGTACTTCCCAAAAATGGATATATGTCACATTCTCAACATGGCAATACTACAATTAATTCATGGACTCAAGGTAAGATTATAATTTCTTCTTTATTATTTGATTTAATTCCTTTACATTTAGGATCATTGTGTCATACAACAAAAGCAAAATATTGTAGATGCCTTATTTACACGAAGTTTACAGACCTTCATAAACAATCAAGAGATTAAGATTTGACATATATTTTTTAGAATGACCATTGAAGCGTTTTCTTTTATTGATTCTATTTTTTAGTATCGTGTGGTTTGCGCTAAACAAATCAATGCTGACTTTCTTGATTCACTGTAGAAGAATGAATCATATTGAACGAAGCAGAGATTTTCAATGGACAGGCGTGAGTCCTCTATGAAAAGTTTTTATCTGGTATTTATTAAATTACAAGCAAGATACGGTACTGCAACGTCATTCAGTATATGATGTAATTTAATTACGGCCAAGAGAATTACATAAACGTTCACACACCTGCGCCTAGGCTTTGGTGTCAGAAGTTTGAACTCGCCTATTCACATGATTCACAAATTAATATCACTTGTTAATAGAAGTACCATTAATAATCCACTTTGAACCGAGAGAAAAATACTTTTCAAATGAAAGTCACTACGTTGTAAAACTTACATACATCTCATATTTTCATGATAATAAGATCAGGTCTGGCTGGAGGTACAGAATTCTAAGATCAATGATTGCTCTTGAATAGGTTTTGGCTCAGCTGGAAACAAGGCATAAGCACAATATTGTTTGGTTCCAATATCCTGAGGATAGGTGCACTCATAAAAATTGACATTTAGCCTTTACTTAGATTGACACTTGATATAATTCTACAAATGTGTCTGCTAAAATCATACATATCCAACGGAGACTAATTTCAGTTTGTTAGCTTTATGAATAATGCAGATCAAAAACATCAGAAGTTGTTTCTTTCTTACGATAGCCGTGTGAAATTTAGAATAAGAAACAATTCTATTGATTAATATTTCCTAACTTCCCAACATTTCTTTATTGTTTATTTGGTAAATCTCATCGTCGGTTCTAATTTTATTTGCGTATTTGTAAAATCTACGACGACAAACTGTTACTAACAGTCTTCCTTTTCTAACAATCTCTTAGAGTTCGCTGTATCTGAGAATATCTTAATTTTCAAGTTGTTGTGTTTAACCAACAATTTATTGAACTAAAATTTTAAAAAATACAGATTTATAATAAAAGCTGAATTCTCAAACAAGTGGCATTCTAAGTAGTATACCTGATAATGGCACAAATGGCCTGAGTGCAAAAAAAAACAAAACATAAAGTTGGGTATAACATTTCGTAAAGCATGCAGCACATATAATCCAGCTGTTGGGCTGTGTGTAAACTAGTCTCTTTCTCTCTCTCTCTCTCTCTCTCTCTCTCTCTCTCTCAGCTACCACATACAGATACACACACGCACAGAGACAGACACACACGCACACACATATATATAATATATGTATGTATAGGTATGCATGTGTCTGCGTGTGAGTGTGTGAAAGAGCGATATGTGTGTATGTGTGTGGTTTATCTGAGCGGAAGATGGAATCGACAGACCGAATTCTTCAAATTCCAGATGAGGCTGTTCCGCTGCTCTATTCACTTCAAAACCCTTGGGAAAGGCATGAACTAGACTCCCAGCTGTGGGTGAATAAGTAGGGTAGACTAGGTTTTAGGCCTGTTAGAGTAAGCAGACTAGAAGGATAACACCGTATTTAAACCCTCTGCTAAGAAATCTTGGGGCAGCGTAGAAGTATTAGGCCCATTACTTTGACGGATCATGAGAAAGGCCTGTGTCTTCCTGCGACGTGAGAAAATAGTTGATCATGCATATATATATATATATATATATATATATATATATATATATATATGTATATCAGGCATTTTCTGATATGTGTGTGTGTGTGTGTGTGTGTGTGTGTGTGTGTGTGTGTGTGTGTGTGTGTGTGTGTGTGTGGTGGATTTCTATGTCGCTTTCGAGGGCCTAACAGATCGGTTTTGGGTAGAACTGGGGAATGGTGCAAAGTGTGCTGAAGAGTCTGTGAACAATCCTGTTCAAGTTTTAATTCTGACATTTCCTTCTCCTATACCAGTTACCAATCAAAGCCAGAAAGCCTGTTTTACTATGCTATTAGTATTAATTCATACCTGAGGTATGGAAAATGAAATGAATTCATACTATTCCTAAGTGAACGCAAAGACCACGACCGAATTTGAAATTGAGTGTAGATCCCACTCCCGCAATGATAACACACACACACACACACACACACACACACACACATATATATATATATATATATATATATATATATATATGAGTGTGTGTGTGTATTATTTCGTGTCAGTTAGATATCATAGTTCTTCCAACTACAGCACGAATCTTCGTAAAATCTCTCTAGTGTAGTTTCATTTAGCGGCAAATAGTTTCATGTAAAGTAAAATAAGCGATTCAACTCATAACGAAGTAAAAATGGTTGACTCCAAAATTAGATCGAAACAATCAGTTCTGTATGAACAATTTCTGCTCTTTGAAAAGCATAAATTTTGGTTTTTAATTCTCTGAATAAATATTTGTTTCCACAAAGTCGATATACACATACCGATAAAGAATGAAATTTTAAACGAAGGTTTTTCTTAGAAATCAGCTCAAATAATATCCGGCATGAACAGAAAACTGCATAAATTTTTCACAATAATGGAATGTTTCAAGAAATATTTGGAAACCAATTTCGAAAAATACCAAATATGAGATGGCTAATATTAGAATTTATTATCACATTTCGCCTCAGGATTACTATTCTTTAGATTTTTACATAGGCACATTGATATATCCATTGCCCAATGCCAAAAATAAAAGCATTTATTGAAGCAACAACATATTTTAGTTTTCAACATAATCTCCTTCCTTTTCAATACACTGCTTCGAATATTAACCCCGTAGATCGAAAAGTGAATATTTCAGATCACAATTCATATCACTACGTGTCAGATTACAGACTTATTGATCAACTCTCAACTAAACACTTTATTATGATTAATCATCAATAATAACTGTACCAATTTCCAGATGTTATCACGGCTCAGTATTTAATTTTTCTTTTACTATCTCTGTTCCTCTCTCTCTCTCTCTCTCTCTCTCTCTGCTTAATCTGGTACAAGGCTACATTTGAGGCATTCAAAATTCCAAATTACGTGCATAGAGTTTACTCTTTTTAACAACTGCTCATGTCTGACTATGCTTCGAAGAAACATTTAAAGATAAAATATTTCGAGACCCAAACAAATTTTTTTCACTTCGATGTAACTGGTTTCACGCATCACTTATCCTGGCATCGTCTTTTAATCGGCGAATATCTGCTTCTTTTGAGTTTGCCGGTTGCATCGATTCAGTACTATTTTAGCTTAGATAAATAAATCGAAACGCCTCCAGGCACAAACAAATTTCTTCGACTTACAAAACAATACCCAGCGTTCTGTATATTTCTCGTTTGCTGTAAACAAATACTCTACATGTAAAAGTAAGTTGCGCTATATATTGTGTAAACAATAAGTGATTATATTTATATTTTCAACTATATTTTTTGTTTTTAAAGGGAATGAGTAATAGATAGATAATTTTCGTTATAAATAAAATTGCGCTCTACTCGTTTTAAAGATCGTAAAACAACAATCTCTCTATGGTGTAACTTTACTGTATTAATAATATATTTTAATATGTCAAGACAAAAAACACGCAATAAATATAATATTAACTGTTATAGGAGAAAAGATAACAACATAAAATTACAATAAGATCATTAAGCGGGATGACATAATATAAACTAAACACATGTACAATTCTAGTAAATGAATGACGAGGAACTTCAACAATCTTATCAGAAATATTACGCATTATTAACCATACCGTTTAATTTGTCAGTTCATTATAAGTTTGAGTCATAAATAATTTCCGTTTTTGTTTATCGAATTTATTCTTCAAACAATACCGTACAATTACATTTTATTCAATTATATTCTTCACTATTATTTGAAATGATTCGTTGCCACTTGTCAGACACTTCTTTGATACTGTTTTTAGTAAGAAACGGTCCGATGGTTTTGTTATGAAAATGTTTTCGACGAACATTTGAATTTAGCTTTCATTAGAGAAGGTTTTGTTCATCAAAGCGATAATAATCAGTTGCTGCCAGGTCAGGTGAATTTGGTGGGTGGTGTTAGAAATGGTCAACCGAGTTCCAGAATTTTCCCTGTGTTATATTTACTGCTCAGCTTTGCGCTGTCATGGATGAGAACACGATTTTCCCTATTGACGAAAGCAGGGCGCTTTTCGACCAAACCTTTTTATAGACACGTTGCAGCTATTGTACATATAAATGTGCATGTAGTGTTTTACTGCGTTTCAAAACTCTAAATGAATAATACCTCGGTGATCCCACCAAATGAGCAACATTATATTCCCTTTAAAACCACAGCTTTTGAGATAAGCTGTGGAGATTTCTCCTTTTCAAACCACTACCATTTGCACTGAAGATTCTTACAGGTAACCTACTTTTCAGCACCTGTTATGATATATTTAAGAAACGGTTACGATTGTTTTCCCCAAACGCAAATTACTTATGACTCCACCTAGTATATACATACATATCTATCTATCTATCTATCTATCTATCTATCTATCTATCTATATATATATATATATATATATATAGAGAGAGAGAGAGAGAGAGAGAGAGAGGGGAGAGATGTATATTAGGTCTATATATAACCAAACAAGTTTAATTAATACAATCGACAAGGTCAAAATTATAAGAAAAAGGAAAAAAAAACGCCTTCTTTCAGATGTGGTGTCGCATCACTTAACCATTACACATGGGCTATTTTAAACTTTCACCTTTCTAAAAGATACCGGGGTGTAGCCAACGGAATCTTGACTACCACGCAGATAACACATGGCTTTTGAAAAAGACTGTAAATTTTTAATGTACTTGAACAAAATAACATCACAAACATGAACTTTAGGTAGTTTATCCACAATTTCGATCCCAATATACAACATGTTCTTAAATTTAAAAAAAAAAAAATTCAATAAAAAATTAAAGTGACAGACTTTGTCGGTTGTATCTAATCAAACTTGCTATGTCGGTATACACGCATACGCACATAGACACACATATATATATATGTTGAGTCATATATATATATATATATATATATATATATATATATATATATATATATATATATATATATATATATATACACATATCTATACACACAGCGCGCATGTGTGTGCGTGTTTTATGTGTTTTGTGAGTATACTGGGGACTTGGATTAAGTTTGATTCCATTCTGAGACACCTATTAATATTCTACAAGACTTAAAATGAGTTTTCTCAAAATGAGTAGAAGAGAAGATAATTATCAAAGAAACTCTTTTTTTCAAAATCGATGTAATGATGCTATTTACTTTATTAGGAATAACATGAGTTATGTTGTTTAACACAATTAGAATTATAGTTCGCTAAGTGACAATAATTTTAGGAAGGAGGTTTTAAAATGGCAAACATTTGTGCATGTGAAAACGATGTAATAATAACACAAACATTATTTTGTCATGAAGGAAATAAAGAAATTCTATTTAAATGTGAAACAGAGTTTGTTGATTCTTAGCAGATTAAAATCTTCGTGAAATAAAAGATTTACAATCGATACTTAAAACAGAAGAACTATTCAATTCAGTTCAAAATAAAACAAAAAGAAAAGAAAGTCGTTAAAATTTAGTTCGCATAGCAAACAAGTAACAGACTTCTGATCAATTAGTCAAACCCAACCAAAGTGCGTCATTATAAAAGAACGTTAATATGAAATAAACGTAAATATCAAGAACGATTAATTTAAAAAAAGTGGCGCTTTGAAACTTTTTAATTCGGCGACAAAAGTAACTGTAAGAAAATCTCTTTACAATAAAAATCAAATAAATTGGAATGTGAATTTAGATTTTAATAAATCAGAAAATTATATTCTGAAACAAGACAAAAGTACAATGGAATTTATTGCCGTAACTATTCAGTTACAGCAATAAATACGTAATAATTATGCAGTATGTTAAGGCAACAAAAATACAACTTCACATTCAATATTTGACAAACAAAGAAAATTGAATTACTCCAGGTCTACTCACACCAATTTCTAATTTATTATTGAATGTCGATTCAGTAAAACTGTCTATAGGTAGTTTAAATTTTAAATAATGCACTTGGGAAAGACAACTCAGCTTGATCCTGTTCCATTCCTATTCATCTTGTCCATAAAAGATAAAATATTGAGAGTGAAATCACTAACTCTCCAGAAATTAAAATCAGTGTCGATCAATGAGAAAGAAATTATAAGATCAAGATCTTAAGATCACCGAGAGTTTTTTTAAAATGACTTACTTTTGCTTATACTTAAATTCTTAGTTCAGGCAAATGTTTCTGAGAATGAGTTTCAATAAACCAGAAAATGGATGATTACTTAACCATTTTACCATAGGTGAACATCGTTTGTCCATTGAAAATACCCAATCACAAAAACAATTAATAATTGTAGTGTATGCATTGTGGCCCATACAAATTAAACAGAGGAGATAAGCTAGTCATGACTATCTTATTGCGAACTTGGCTGGATTACTGTGTTCTCTAATATAACAGCGATGTGTATGTTGATGAAAAAGCAAAACATGAAAGGGTTAAATTTCATGGGTATAATTTGGGGTAAATATTTTCTTAATCACATGTATGTATGTAAGAATGTATATAGTCACGAGCAATCGTAAAGTAAATATGTACATGCATAGTGGTGTGTGTCAGGCCATTTCATCTAGGAATGACTGGAACGAGGTTGTGTGAGTTTTGGAATATATGTATCTGAAAATATTTACTAATCTTAGTTAAATGAGATACAAGATCTATTGTTAAGATCATATTCACTTACAGTGTTTTACAAAGGCAGCTGTATGACTCAAGTTTATAATTTAAAGCAATAATTTAAAGTCATTAAAATATATTTGTAATCCTCAAGCTACGTCAATCACTTCTACAAGAGAAATTATAAATTTTCATGAGCTACATTAAAATAATTTTTCAGGTGGATACTTCTTAAATAATTACCCGAACCAATAAAGTAGTTTTCTATCAATTACCAAAACTTCTTCTTTTTCTTCTTCTTCTTCTTCTTCTTCTTCTTCTTCTTCTTCTTCTTCTTCTTCTTCTTCTTCTTCTTCAGTCTGTGGGATATCATGGCTCTCTACAACTTCCTGATCTCTGTTCTGCCAACCTTTTACACAAGTTTGTTAAGTAGTTTATTCGCTGCTCTGTCCATCTTGCATTCAATATATTCTGTGAGTGTGAAATTCTCCAAGCCCTCTTTCCTCATTCATTATGTGCCCTTGAAATCTCAATTCTCTTTATGATTATAAGCATGTGTCCTTTTTGCTACAATTTTCCCCGAGAACGTCCTCGTTGATCACAGTCCATAGCATCCTTCTGTAGAACCACATTTCTGTTGTTGCTGCAAATTTCTTCTTTATCTGTGAAATGATTATTACATCACTAAGCAAAAAAGACATAAAACGCGTGAAAATTCTCTACTTTACAAATATTCGAATTCAAGTATTAAAAGCTTTTGCTAACGGCGAAGAATTGTTTATTTTGGCAACTTTTACCGTCTCCGCACTTTCAATAAATAGCGTTCGGATTTTATATATTTGTTTAATATCTTTACGTTTATTTTACTTTAATACCTTTTAATGAACACAATGTCGTATTTTATTATGCAAGTCAATGACTTCTTAATAAAATTGGTATTAACCAACCAATGTTGGGAACATTTTCAGGATATACTTATTTGTACGATAACTATACCATGTGAATATCACATTGTGAGAACTGTCTTATTCAAAATATTTACAATAAATTATTTGGTGGCGTGATTTTCTATTATGTAACTTGAAGATTGGCCATCATAATGAAATATCATATTATAGTCCTTCTATGTTTATAAAGATTGTCATAGATTGTAAGAAATGTATAAACACAGAAGAGAAACAAAATAGGGTGGTTGGGGGGGAGGTAATGGGAACCTAACTTGTGATTTTTCGGCAAAATGAATAGAGATCACAGAACAATGAAAAAAGAACTGAAAACATTGGCAAGTTAAGAACAAGAAAAACTGACATTAAGAATGTTACTAGAAGAGACATGCGGAAAAAAATTAAAAGGGTAATAAGCAAGAATAGTTCATTGACCATTGAAAAAATATTTGGCTTTGTAAATCTAAAAAGGTGGAGAAAATTACGAAGATTGGCAAAAGACATGAAAGCAACCAAACTGTAAGTGTTAAATATCACAAAGAGAAACGTATAAATTGGGACAAAAAGTACATGAAAATTGATTCCACACTGGTAGTTTTTAGCGTTATATATAATGCCTAGGCTAGAGATTGGGTCTATCACAGATATCACCAGCAAATATGATTTAGAAGACAACACATAGGAGGTGAAGAAATATGTTGAGCAAGTATTACAGAAGAAAAATTACACGTCCACTCAAAGCTGATTATGTTTCTGGATAAATATAGTGTCATTGTCAGTATTTGGACAAAATAGTTTTAGTGGTAAAGCTCAAAAGCAAGGTAAAACGTATATTAAAGCTAGACATCTCATTCTGTAAAACTAATTATTATGCATCTTGCCAAAAATGATTCCAGTCACAGTAAATTTATAAAATGTTCCATCATTAAAAGATATGTATATGAGATTGAAACAATGTATTCAAGCAAAGAGAGTTTTCTAGGAGGCAATAAACATACTGCTATAATTAATGTTCAAATCGAAGCCGTGAAAAGAATAATAAGATCAGTGAATAAAAGGTTATTGTTAAAGAGCCCATATTAACACTAAAATAATATAATAATAATAATACAAGTAAATGGGGGTAGTGTGTTAATAATAATAATAATAATAATAATATATATATATATATATATATATATATATATGGTATATATCTTTTGAAATTAACTACAACTATAGAAAACAATGTTTCATCCTCATAAGAAAAAGAATTATATTTCAAAGGTTTTTGAAATAAAATTATTTTTCTGATGATGCAGGTTTATTGACAAAATATGTCAAAGTAGAATTTTTTTATATATTTACCATTTCGTCAAGTGCCCATACAACTTTACTTACATTTATTTATTAAAAAATATGATGTATTTATATATATATTAGTATGTTTGCATACACCTTCAAAATAAGTTGTTATTATAAGCTGAAACACATATAATACTCATATAAATATATCCTGAAATTGGAAGCAATTTTAGACTGAATACATTGAATTGAATGATAAAACCCGGCAGAATGTATATGTTCTCTATCCTTTAGATAAGTTCGTCATTTTGCAATCCCATCATGTTTTCCTAGATTTCAACTGAAAATAATCTTATCAAATCTTCACAGTAAACACGATCTTGATTTTCCATTTGAATAAAACGGAGTTTAACTAACAACTTAAAATAATCCTATAACATAGATAATTGATATGTGATTAAGATACAAGAAAAATCGACTTTAATATTTCTATATTTATTCACATAATATTCACAGTACCCTCAGCATTTAAAAATACTATCTTGATCAAATAAATACTGTTAATTAAATATTAATAAACTGTAAAGATATTTTTTCTGAATTACCCCTTTCATATGAGGTAAATAGATTTATTGTCATTTTATTATTATTTATATTTATCCTACGTTTTATTGCCGTTTTCTTTTATGAAAATTATCTGTAAAATATATTTCAGTTTTAGAATTGACTCGTGCTAGAAATTTAGAGATTTAAGAGATAACAAAGCAATGTTTCAAAATTTGGATGATTTGTTCCCGTGCTTATTGACATTAATAAACACCATTGACATAGTGTGTGCCTAATTCAATAATACTCTCGGTTGACTGACATAAATTTATATGAACAGACAGGAGCATTAATTGAGTGTTTAACAGATAAAACGGCAAGCGGCTCCAAACAGATAGATACTAAAATCATTGAATCTTCGTATTGCTTTATAGATTTATATATGTATGTTAAAACATATAAGCAGTATAGACGAAGCATATATGTATGCTTATATGACTTCGAATAGTTTTCCAATATAAAATACATGACAGAAAATAACACGAGAACCTTTCGACAGAAAGATGACTCATTTGATCATAAGCAAGCAAATTATGACAGGCATGACATATAGATAAGCAAGGAGAAATAATTCACTTGGGATAACTTGAAACATTAAAAGAGTAATTGTGGCTACTGAACCAACAGATAAGACAGTGTTCTAAATGTTGAGAAAGTAAGCCATATTGATTCCTAGTATTGCCAACGACTGGATGAAAACTCGATACTGGTCAAGTGCCCTACAAATGTAGCCTTGTTAGTTCACTCTGAGTAAATCTTGCATGCGTGATGACTTCTGCGATCATACAATTCGTGGTCTTTTAAAAATAAACAGCTTCACTAATTATAAATACTCAGACATAATCATGAACACAAGCTGCAACGCTTTTGTTCAGCAATCTAAACGTGTTCTGCACTTCACACGCCCACAAGTGTATTATTTTGGCAGTTTTGTTACACAAACAAAATGTTTTAAGACATAAAGGTCATTTTTTTTTCCGAATTTAATGAAAAAGACACACGACATTCTACAGCTCTTACAACCGTCGTGGAATTTTGGGTGGGGATTATTTTGCATATTTCGAAAACAAATAATGATCTTGTGTGAGATATATCTGAAATAATTAAATACATATAGAAGAATAAAGCCTAGAAAAGCGTATTAAAACATATGAAGGGAATAAATATTCATAAGAGAATCATACTTTCTGAATTCTTACATTGAGAAATATGTTTTAAACTTGGTAGACGGTCTGTTTATACTGGGTCCCAGGCAAGCGTTATTTACTTAGCCTGTTTAGCCGATTTGTACTTCTAGTGCCCTGTGATTCTGCGCAAAACTTTAGCGTTATCAAGGGCAGCTCCCCAGGAGACTGATTTTTCCAAAGACTGAACACACATACACACACACACACACACACGCGCGCGCGCGAATGTATGTGCGAAAGTAATAAACATATATATGTAAAATATCCACTTATACAAAGATAAATAAACGGAAACGTTGTGTCAAGAAATGGAATTCTGACCTCACACATTTATATATACATAGTTTGAAAGAATACACGTATATTTTTTCCGTATTTACACACATACACCTACCTCCTTCTATATGTCTATGTCCGTTTGTATAGGCGCACGCACATGTGTATTTATGTATCTGTACAAATGTTAACAGGGTTATTAGAATTATTGTGTACGTGCAAATATAACAAGGACTTAAAGTTCTTCACTTTCATGTGTTTTCCATATAATTATGGTCGCGCACCAGACAAGGACGAGTCAAGGTAATATCTCCAAATACTAATTGTTTCTCATAGGTTCTGAAGTTTAAACTTCATTTTAGAACATTTCTTCGCTACTGGACTTACACATTTTAGTTTCACCCATTAACCAATGAGCACTCGCGCCAAAAGTGCGTAACGCTTCTTAGTTTGTATGTAATTACACTGTGAGATGAATGTAGTACCGAAGTAAATATGTCTGGTGTTTGATCTTTGTAGTCATTTCTGGTATCATCATCACAGATCTGTTTTTGTATAGGAGGGAATTGCGCCGTTGTTTAAACAGGTCATTTTGACCATTTATTTTATTTAAACGGAGAAACAGATATGATATTAGTAAGTAACAGAGGTGGCCAAAGCGATTTTTTCCAAAAGATACTGTTTTCCTATTATTATACCATATGCCCCAGTAGAATGGCAAATTAGAAAATTAACCACTGTCGGACACACAATTATCTTTGCAGTAAACATTATTTTTCACTCGGACCATTTGTTTATCGGAAAGCTTTCTTGAATTTACTGAAGATTTCTTTAATTTGAAATATTTTTGAATAAGACTGTTTTAAGAGTTTCCAGAAAAATTCTAGTTCTAAATTTAACTCTTAAAAAATAATTCAGGTTGATATTTTAAAAAAGTAAACCTGAAATACATCACGTGCGCCTATAATAACAACCAGGTGGCATTGGCAGACATATTTTTGTTTGTGCACTTTATACATCTGCATTGTATCTATTATTAATTACAGGTCGATTGAGCCGC